TTGAAAAGTAAATAGAAAATAAAAGCAGACGTATAAAGATAACACATAAAACATCGAAAATATCCTGCTTCTTTCAATGTGCCCGCTGGTGCTAATCGGGGACGTACCGGCATGCAGATGCAATCGAGGATACAGCTTCCCCATGATCTGTCTGGCACGGGTTCTGCCATGCGTTCACGCACTTCATTCGCATGATTTTGATTACTATCGGATTCGACTCTGCTACTCATTTGAAGTTGATTGTAGGAAGGAGGGAAGCGTGTAAACAAACCCTTTTCCAAGTCCTCTCCACTGTTATAACAAACTTCTGAGTAATTTGGCAAATCCAATTGAAGCGAGCTTTTCCTCGAATTGTCGTATTCAGAGAAATTGGTGTCGTTGGGTTCCATTTTTCCTACGTTATTGTCATTTTTCCAAGCTTCGTTCGTCCATTCTCGCTTTTCACTCATAAATGAACATGAAGTCTTATGTATCCGAATTTAGCAGTTTTTCCCTTATATTAGCATTAGGTAGCTCTCTTTTACTTGCGATTACTTCTGAGATTTTCTTGATTCTTCTTGTTTTATAAATTGGACTTTTCTTGCTCCAATTGAGGTTTGTTTTGTGCAGAAAGAGAATGCGACGATGAGATGGGAAAAGTGATTTCTTCCATTTTGTGAGACGTGACGAGGCTTTGCAAAATAATGTTTAGTACGTATTTGCTGTACCCCACTATCTATAAGATTTGACACTGTAACGGTAATCAATAACATCCTTATAATGCTTTTGCTGATTGCGTTTCTTTTCGTTAAATGTAAAACATAAACAATGGATTGGAGCAAATGTCTACAAAAAGTAGATTCATGAGTATCAATGTGGTTTTATTGCTGAAACATCACAATATAAGAATTTTAGACGTTATCTTTGTCCAGGCATGTCTGTAGACGCTTTTCTGTACAGTTTGATATAATTACAGTAAGATTTAAGAAACTCGGGCTCCAAAATAGTAGAGATGAATTTTGATTTGATCTCGTAAATTTACATTTCATTTCATTTCGTTCATTCTTCTTCGTTTTTGTTTAACTGTGTTTAGACAAAGAGCCTAAATCAGAGTTCTTTGTTCAAGCGCATATATATTTTGACAAAACCATAGTCAAAAACCTGGTTTCGATCAATACTGGTATCTCCTTTTTTGTATATTAATATTAAGATATATTTAGAATTAGGTTAAACATCTTTTGAGATATAAACCAGTGAAGGACCTTTCTTTTTACTCGGTTACAAAGCATACTATTTGGTTTCTTAAACGTTTATGACCTTTAAACTCGTTGCATATTCAATTTCCGATAATTTTTTCCGTTACTAGTATTGCTATTAAACCATCCGGATTGATATACTTAATTATCTTTTGACTTTTTATCCCTCTTGCTTTCTATCATCGTTGTTATTAATTTCTTTTTGAGTTTCTCACTTCCATAATTTGCAATGTCTCAATGCCAATGTTGCTCACAATCTTTCGCTTCAAGGACGGCGCGAGGTCATCATCGTCGAGCTCTCCACTTGTCTATGGTATACATCCCATTGCCAAATAAATCTTTTGGTTCGGAAAAGTTCTATCGTTGTGAGGATGGTTACATTTATTGCTCTTGCCAAAAACAGTTCACAATTCCTAGCAAACTTCAAACATTGCCCCAAATTTGTGAAAGAACATACAGGAAATCGGATAATGAACAAAATGCTTTAAAAAATTACGAACAGCAAGGACACGAGAGTGATGCTGCCGTCAATAATAAAAACAATTTATCAGATGATGTTGTAAAGCGAACAAAAAAAGAAAATCCATTCGAGCCTATAAATAAAAGGACATTCTCTATAGGTTTTGCTGAGCAGAAAAACCCATCGTAAGACAAGCCTATTTGGCACTCAACAGCAATTCATCAGGGAGATAATGTTTACAGCGAAGTAAACTCAGAATTAGCTATTTACGGATTGCAGATTCTATCTAACTTTGCTCTGACGTGTCTGAAATGTGAATATATCATTGATGTACCAAATGTCAACGACATTTAAAATTAATTCACGATATAGATTTTAATAGTAACTTGGCTCAAGAGCTGAATGACTTACACCTGTTCACTATATCGGAAGCATCAGCTAAATATCCTTCAAATACGGAAACATATACTTACATTCAAGGGTTGCCTGTATTATTGAATGGATACGAATGGATACGAGTGTGTTTTGTGTGCTCGTAATGCAAGTGGCTATGTCCATGGAAACTTTGATAGTTTTCGTCATCATATACGACATAATCATGGAACTAGGTACCTTGAAGAATGCATACGTCGTGTTCCGCTTCAACAGTTGAAGAAAGAAAGCATCGGTGATCACTATCTTAAAGTGGACTATATTCCCATCGCTGAAAGAGATGGAGAAAAACTCTCAATGACGAAAATTGATTCTTCTATAGGACACACGGAGAATACACATGCTCCAGATCTTTTGATCCAGCTAACTGAAGTGGACGA